TCATATGTTGCCGCGACATCTGACGCTATCTGACGCCATCTAGCGATATCTGACGTCATCTGACGACATCTGTCGCGACGACATCTGACGCAGGCGACATCAAGCGCTGGATAGCGGGATAAGTCAGTTAACGACAGTTAACGACAGTTCACGCTATCTAGCGCTATATAGCGCCAGATAGCGCTATATAGCGTCAGATGTCGTTGCGACATATAGCGCTAGATAGCGTTAGATAGCGCTAAATAGCGTTAGATAGCGCTAAATAGCGAAGAATTTTGGGTCGTGACAGTCCAGGCTATTTAGCGCTAGATGTCGCTATCTAGCGCTATATGTCGCTGCGTCAGATGTCGTCGCTACATATAGCACAAGATATCATATCCTATCACAGTAACAGTAATCCTAACTCTGTGTGTGTGTGTGTGTGTGTGTGTGTGTGTGTGTGTGTGTGTGTGTGTGTGTGTGTGTGTGTGTGTGTGTGTGTGTGTGTGTGTGTGTGTGTGTGTATGTGTGTGTGTGTGTGTGTGTGTGTGTGTGTCTGTGTGTGTGTGTGTGTCTGTGTGTGTGTGTGTCTGTGTGTATGTGTATGTGTCTGTGTGTCTGTGTGTCTGTGTGTTTTACTGGGACCGTAAGCGCAGCCTGTCTTTTCCCACCCAATCTTTTTTGTTATTTTTATTTTATATGAAAATTAATTTTTACTGTGTATGAAAATTAATTATAATTTAATTTTAAGTGAGAATGCAAATGATATAACTATAAGCTTGCGCGGCTCGTCGAAGTCACCCAACTATTACACTCGATTTATCAAATATTCGGCTGAGTGGAACAAAATATTAAATATCACTTAATCAAGGGGTCGTTTACATATTATAATTATATAAAGGGCCTGATGCCGCCGGCCGGGGTTTTCCAAATTATTACGCTCGCTAGTGTGATTGTGACATAATACTAATAGCTTAATACTAATAGCTATGTATGGAACTGATTACTAACAATGAGGGGTCGTTCACATACCCCGTAATCAGTTTTACCATAGCTATTATATTTATGTCAATATTACACTAGCGTAATCAATAATCATTTGAAAACCCCAACCTCCTCAGCTGATTACGTAATACTAATATGTAAACGACCGTCGACCCTTAACATTTCGGGATCGGAAGAAAGCGGCACGTACTATTTCGACGAAATTTATACAAGTTACTAACATCGTTGATTCATGATGCCAATCTTTCACAGCTCAGTGGTGCATTTCGCCGAAAAGCATTATATTTATTGGATACCGAGAAGCATTTTTGGATGCGCGGTGCGACGTACACTCACAGTAACGCATCGCGTTGCGGTTGATTCACGATGTCAATCCTTCACTGTTCATGTTCACAGCTCGGCGAGGCCCAGTCATGGTGCATATCGCCAATTTAGTAACATAGTTGGTCAGTTCGTACAAAAGTCGTAAAAAATTCGTACAGTTCGGCACGTTTTTTCAGTTCGGGATTAGTTTGGGAAAAATTCGCCTCATAAATTTTCGAAATATATAATAAAAAGCTAATTGCAAAAATTTGTGTTAAAATGGCAGGAAACGATGACGTGCGGATGCATGTTAATATTTTAAATCTGAAATGTAACCTCCCGGACAAAAATAACAATTTTTTCGGACTGAAGTGATTACTGATTAAAAAACAAAAATTTTTTTAAAAATTCGGTAAAAATTCCTCGACAGCTTTTTAAAATTTGTACAGTTCGACACCTTTTAAAAGTTCGTACATACAGTAACGTACTGACCTTAACGGGTGATACTCGTAAAATATCTGTTCCATATATTGGACCGTCGACGAGTCCAACTCGGCGCGCGTCCTGGTAGGTTGTAAACCTACAATACTGACCAAGTATGTTTAGTAAAGCACTAGTGGTTGCAAGAAGCATTATATTATTGGCTGCGCGGCGCGGCCCAGTAGTGCATCGCGCTACAACAAACATCGTCAAATAGATTACTCGAAGCTCAAAGCTGTAAGTGTAAAGTATTTATCCAAAATAATTCCGATTCCGAGGATTATTACTGGGCCAGTGGGCCGCGCTCAGCCTGTCATTCCGCCAAATCTTTATTCGCCAAATCTTAATGTTTATGAACATGTACATAATAGCCTGGGTCCCCAGGTAAGAGGATTGACATAACTTATAAATTTATAATATATTAATTCTAAATACTGAATGCATCGCATTTTAAGGGTTTTGGTATTTTCGTAGCTAAATTGCACTAAAGCTTTCGCGCTTGCACTTTACACTTGCGCGTAGTTCGTAAACTGAAAACTCGTGGGTACGATATATGTGATTACTGAACATTAAATTCGGCTCGACTCTCATTACATTCTTTTAATAACTTGCTGTGCGAGATTTCAATACTATTAATTTGCAAATGCTAATTTAACATTTAGATCTTTACATCATCTTCTTTCACATAGCCATGTGTCTAAGCGTACTACTAGCGAGAGGGCTATGGTTAGAGCATAAACAGGTTATATACTGGACGAATCTCACTCGTTAACGGGTGATACTCGTAATTTACTATCACGCGCCGCTTTTTCTCAAAATATTAGTCTAAGCCTATACCAGCCGGCAAAGTTTTTATATGTAACCTACATACAACGTTAAAATTTAGTTGAGTTTTGAACGTTGCTTATAGTTGATAAGGTAACCTTGATCTAACGTAAAATAATAAACGTTTTGCAACGTTAAAAATAAAACCTATAACCAACGTTAGATATTTAACGTTTAACAACGTTTTATATGTAACCTACATACAACTTTAAAATGTAGTTGAATTTTAAACCCTGCCTATAGTTAATAAGGTAACCTTGGTCTGACGTCAAATAATAAACGTTTTGAAACGTTAAAAATAAAACCTATAGCCAACGTTAGATATTTAACGTTTAACAACGTTTTATATGTAACCTACGGCTACATACAACTTTAAAATGTAGTTGAATTTTAAACTCTGCTTATAGTTAATAAGGTAACCTTGATCTGACGTCAAATAATAAACGTTTTGCAACGTTAAAAATAAAACTTATAACCAACGTTAGATATTTAACGTTTAACAACTATAGCCATAGCTATAGCTGTCGCCGCGATATTTAGCGCTAGATAGCGCTATCTAGCGCTATCTAGCGTTAACTGTCACAAACCGATATTCTCCGCTAGATAGCGCTATCTAGCGCTAACAAGCGTTATCTAGCGGAGAATGTCGGTTTGTGTCAGTTTACGCTAGATAGCGCTATCTAGCGCTAGCTGTCGCCGCGATATCTAGCGCTATCTAGCGCTATCTAGCGCTATCTAGCGTAAACTGTCACAAACCGACATTCTCCGTTAGATAGCGCCAGATAGCGCTAGATAGCGCTAGATAGCGCTGCGTCAGATGTCGTTGCGACATATAGCGTTAGATAGCGCTAGATACCGCTAGATGTCGCAAAAAAAAGGGCGGAAATTTTATGAAAATAGCGCTATCTGTCGCCTGGCGTCAGTGCTGCGTGCTTAGCGTCATCTAGCGTCATCTAGCGTCATCTAGCGTCATCTAGCGTCATATAGCGTCATATAGCGCTAGATAGCGCTAGATAGCGCTAGATAGCGCTAGATAGCGACATTCGAAAGGTGCCGTGCACTTAGCGACAATGTCGCTAATTGGCGTCATCTAGCGTCATCTAGCGTCATCTAGCGTCATCTATCATCATCTGGCGATATTTCACGCTAGATGACGCTAGATGACGCTAGATGACGTCATATGTCGAATTTCAACTATCAGTAAAGGTCCATAAAATTCTGGACTTAAAGTTAAGTTACTGTGTGTTGCAAAGTTGTCGAAGATGTGGTGATCCTAAAAAGGTTTTGATTTAATACGGTTATAATAATAGGAATAGTAATACCTCGCCATGCCAGACGCTGCCTAGCCCGATAGTTAAGCCTAAGGTCACATGACGGGAGACAAATAATGCTTACAGTTACAATGTTATTATTTTAGTATGATGATTTTGAAATTAACAACGACCGTTAAATAAAAATATTTAATTTTTGACGCAGTTTATTAATATCATATCTCCCGACCACAAAAAGAACGATCCCCAAATTCAAAATTGCGTGCACAGCAATTAATTTTTTCAAACTTCACAAATCGAATTAATCCATATAATAATCGAGATTATCGTTAAATATTTTGCAATGTATTCAGAACGAGCGTGCTAAAATTAAATCACGTTGTACTTGATTTCCAAAATGAAACCAACCTAAATCCCTGTATTTTCGAACGCTGATTCTGAATCACCTTGGCGAGATTCAGATATTGGCGAAAGACAGTCTTGACTCTCGATCACACGAATCATGATATGACCATATAAGGAAGTTGGTCTAATTTCTCGTTAGAGTTAGGGTTTAATTTTGAGATATTGATTAAAGTGTGTATCATTATCAACATTGCATTGCTTGTATTTCTTTTTCACGAATAATTCATTATACGCAAAAACGTACTACTACCGTATATAGTATAACTATATAGCTGATGAAGCGTGAGGATAAATGCTGCAGTGTTTCGGATTTTCACTCACTTTTTAATTTTATTCATAAAATGCACCCATTATGTAAAATAGTTTGATGAAATAAGTTTAAATTTAAATGGTTATAAGTAAACTAAAAATTTGGGTTCAAATTCGTTTTTTGGTAGCTACGGCTCTGTTTACATTTATGATTCAGCCTTTAAAATGTTGGAAACTTTAACTGTGTATTTAGCTAATACTATATGCGTTCACATCAATACACAGACATAAACCCACTAACCTTGATTGTTGATGCCTCGAATATCATTCACAAACATGTTCGATTAACCAATGTTTGTTTAAAACATTGCTTGTATTTCTGTTTCACGAATAATTTATTGTAGTTGTACACAAATACTGCATAGGTATATGTCGAACAAGGTTGTTGGTACGATCAATATTAATAGCATTAACAAGTCAGACTGTAAAGTGTAAATCAAAATGTCAATGTAAACAACATTAAATTCAAAGAAAGTAATAACTTTAAGTAAATCTTAAAATTTATCGATAGCAATAAAAATGTAGAGTAACCACATCTATAAAATGAAATGTACGGGAGTCATAAACCCAAAATTATGGTAATAATCAAAAGTTAGATCTGTTAGCTTATTGGATTTGTGGCCGTGTTCTAAAAGCACATGTTCGGTATAATTATATTAAAGACTGCTCCTAACCATGGTGTCTGCTTAACAATGGGAGAATATGTGCGAATAATATTAGAATATTGTGTAAATCTTATAGTATGTAATATATACGAGTATGCGAGCAATAGGAGAATTGCACGGGTATAAGTAATAAACGGACGCTGACATTGAGAAAGCTTAATTATGCTAACAGAATTGCAGTTTAATTTGTATCTTCGTACAAATTTGCCGATATAGTCGATGTAGATATTGAGTGAGCGGAGGAGGACTATCGGAATCAAGATGCCATTCAATATCGCAGATTAATTTATAGCTCTAACTTCTTATGTTTTCAATAAATGTATCATGTATATTAAAATCAATTAAAATCAAGTAATGGAGTAATAATAAGATATGTTATGAAATAAAGATACACACTAGTATAACTAAAAATGTAAACTAACAGTTTTTCCGAACTATTAGACATATAAGTGTCTTCATCGGTCGATTAATGGTAGGTCGTACCATCAATAGAGGGGAAGTTATAGAACTCCTGACCCAACGAGTCAGAAGTTCTATAATGTGCTGATGGTCCGGTTAAAGACAAGTCTTGGGAATATTTTCCAAAACTAAATTAGGTTATTGATACTTATGGAATACTATATTTCATAAATATCAATGTCGAAGAAGAAGCTTGCGTTCAAAAAGGAAGCTTGCTGTTCTCTCAAACTAAAAAGATGTGAATTGTGAGCTGTGGATCTAATCAAATCAGTCCTTCTCGCTGGCTAAAATTGGTCACGTTATACTAATCTATCAACTGACTGTACCTCATGTCCTACGCCACTCGGTGACCACGTGCCCGACAAACCATGGTGCCGTACTATACTATAGATTCTTGATTATTTTATAGTATAGACTGATTTTATATGTATATTTTAAGATAGTGAACGATCCATCATAATATTTATTGATATTGTTTGAATAAATTATTATCATAAATAATAATATAAATTTATGTAATACTAATATCCTATTGAGGCGGCTCAAGCCACCCCATTGCGGGTTTACTACTACTACCGTACCTGCTGTATATATCACAAGATTTAAATATTATTTCTCTAGCTTCAATTATGACATATAAGTAAACTCTTATAACTATAAGTTTATAACCTACTCGAGCGCCGAGTTGCTTCGATGCATTTCAAATTAATATTGTACGGGTGATTCACCCGTTAATTAAACTCACACGAATTTTATTGGACAAGAGTGGTATATGGTAATCACGTCTTTTCGACCGAATTTTCAGCCCTCTAATCAACTGTTAGAGACACGAATTATCATTGGTCATAATAACTTTTTTAAGGGCAGACAAAATTTCAGCGGGGGCCGGGGGCCGTGAGAAGGCTGAAAACATTTCGGAACTACATCTGAGAAGTTGCCCGAAAGAAGTAATAACGCGAGGGGAGCCTATCAGTCCAGGAAAACCTAAATATCGCAAAGTAATCACAGTGAAGACCCCATCTCGATGTCTCCCTTCCTGGAGTGGATCAGGTTCTCTGCCCCTCCCTCCTCCTGAAGTTCCTTCTCCCTGTCCATCTCGGCTAGTTCCTCAGCGCACAAGTGCTGTACTATTGCACAGCCCAGTGCGTCACCCATCACGTTTGTTATCGTCCTGAATCTGTCCAGGAACCTGGGACAGTAGTAGTATTGAGTCAACCTTATTTAAAATTGAGTTGACTCTATTTAGAATTGAGTCAACCTTATTTAGAATTGAGCTGACTTTATTTAGAATTGAGTTGACTTTATTTCATGTAACTAAGTTGTCATGAAATTACAATGTTATTCCTTTACTGATAAATTGATTCCATATTTTCCATTTGACCTATCAGAAGAGACGTCAGATACTAACACACCTCAATGGTTATTACAGAAAACTTACCAGTCGACAGTGAGCAGGACGGATATCATGTCGGTGGGCAAATTGACAGCATTGAGCACCATGACCATGGTAACAAGGCCAGCAGAGGGTATACCAGCAGCTCCCACTGCAGCTAGAGTCGCTGTCAGTCCAGTCACTATGACTTGACCAAAGTTCAGTGGCACTCCTTTTACTTGGGCGATGAACAAACAGGCGACCTGACAGAGTAAAGCTTTAAAGGAGGGGGGATTTAAGTTAGGAAGCATGGTTGACAAGTTCAGTCGCCTTTAGGACTTGTTAAACAAGATTTGATTAAAGTGCTGTCACCTTTTGCTTAATAGTGACATTTATATTCGCTGCATTGCTTGAAGTTGATTAATAATATTAATTCTGACTGGATTATGTCAACTCTTCCGTTTACAGCGAGACAGCAGCTCCGTCTAACACTTACCGCCTCGTAAAGAGCAGTACCGTCCATGTTGATTGTAGCTCCGACCGGGATGACGAAACGGGAGATCCGCTTGTCAATGTTGTTGTTCTCTTCCACGCACTTCAGGGTTACTGGCATGGTGGCGCTGCTGGAATCTGTACCAAATGCAGTCGCAATCGCTGTGACGGACAAGTCAGTGTCAGAAACATATACTCGGGAATACACACTAAGCACTTTTTAGAGGACAATTTTGGGATTAACTGAGTAAAAAAGCATTAAAAAAAACATTTTTTCCCACAATTTTCAGTTAGTAAGATGGAGAGTTCTGATTTGTTGAACTAACTGTCAGAACAGTGAACTAACCAGGCAACATGTTGAGGTAATACTGAACAGGATTTCTTCGTGTAAAAGCATAGAAGATACCAGGTAGGACAATGAAGAAGTGGATAGCAATACCACCGAGCACAGTTACCATGTACATACCGAGCTGAGCCATCATCTCGCCAAAGTTCTCAACCTGACCACCAGTGTAATGTTATAAAGGTTCAATCTGAATATAAAAATCCAAATGGTAGTCACAAGTGATTCAATGCTTTGTATTTGCGGCCTACTACTCTACTAATGTAAAATGAGTAATTACTAATTCCGGGAAAATTTGAAAATTAATAATTATGACTGAGTTTAAAAAGTGGTAACAAGATAGACTTACCCCTGCAAACTGGCCAGCGATAAGGAAGAAGATACCGATAGGAGAATACCACAGTATAAGTGTGACCAATCTCATAGTGACGTCATTCACAGCCTGGATCACCTGGGCAATTAGCAGGTGATTATACTGTTATTAACAGGTGATTGCCAGGTGATTACCAGGTGATTATCTTGTTATTAACAGGTGATTATCTTGTTATTAACAGGTGATTACCAGGTGATTAGCAGGTGATTATCAAGACGTAAAAATGGCAAGTTCGCTGAAATGTAGGCGATCGTTTGAACTAATTAACTTATTAATTCATCATTGAATAAACTAATTAATTAACTGATAATGATAAACCAGTCCACCTTCATGAGCGGAGCTGCTTCCTTTGGATGTAATGACATTATCACTCCGATCACAATGGAGAATACTATAACTCCTATCATGTTCATTCCGGACTTGAACTGAAAACATAAGACGTTAGATTATTGGTTCAAAAGCAAAATCTCAAAAAGGATCATAAAATCTAAGTATCGAAGAAAATCAAAATCCGAAAAATTTACTTCCTTTATACAAATATACACTTTAATATTAACACTATCACGATGAACCGCTGGCACAGTTATGGACCACGATTGTTTTTAAAATCACCTCTAAACTCCGGTTGAGATAAGAGGACCCATCCTCTCGGGTCACGTTAGTCAGCTCAGTAGCATGTTTGCCGAAGGTGGCCTGCACAATGTTGTCTGGGAAGGCTCCTCGGAGCAGGTCCATCATTGTGTCCAGGGTGTTTGTATTCTGGTTCAGGGTCACTGAGCAATGAGCATGATAACATTTTAGAGGGCGGGTCTTAGGGTCCAGCAATATTTAGATTTCGTTGGTTTAAATATACGAGGAAAGGTTTCCTTGCCGCCTACAAGTATCCCCGCATATTGTTTTAGAAAATATGTGCAAACCTTTAGAATCACTAAAAAAGTGTTGTAACTTTGCAGTATATTCAATAAAATATGTAATAATTTACCAACTTACTTTATTGTAAATTAAGACGGACCCGGACAACAAACTAACTAACCGTCTTTTGCAATGAAGTCCTCCTGATTTCCAGATCCCGGTTTGATGATGGAGACGAGGCAGAGTCCGAGGATAGATGCCATTACCGTTGTGGTTAGATAGTAGGTCACTGCCACTCCCCCTATCTTACCTGTAAATGTGCTCAGATTATTGTATATCATTCTTATGTTTTTTGACTTCATGTTAGTTTGTTAAAAATTGAGTTCAATGTTTAGAGCGTTCTAGAATGATTCTACCAGTCGCCATGAAGCCATGAAAATTGTAGCGACCAAATTCAAAACTTTAGAAAAATATGGCTTACATTCCCACCAGTAAGTATAAGTTTATTAATTTAAAACCAAAGAAAAACTAACCACAAGATTTAGCGTTAATAGCCCCGAGTCCGGTGATCACACTAGCGACAACCAGTGGAAGGATAACACATTTCAACATCCTGAGGAGCAGTTCTCCAGGAAATTTGAGAAGAACTACAACCAAGTCAGTAGAGTAGGGGGTCACTGTCTGTTGTACAATCACACCTGATAAATAGTGTGATTATCATCTGATAAATAGTGTGACTATCACACATTGTGTCATTTGTTTCTGATAATTCGGCTTCAAAGATTGAGTTATTTTTGGTTTCCAGCAGTCATTTTCTGAGGAAAAGTAATCGATACTTGTTATTTATATGAAGCTAGTTACGCATAACCCTACCTAAAATCAATCCCAAAACCACAGCAACCAGGGTCAGCGTGAAAAGCAGATTATTCCATACTTTGGACCAAATATTCTGGAGAATGGTTTTGGGCCCCCTTTGCGCGGGCGTCAAGACATCCGTGTCTGTCTTCGTATCAGTACCCATGTCCCTGAGATCAATATTTCAATTAAAAGAAAGTAGGAGTAAGGAGCCTGGTAAAGCTTACAGTTACTTAAGAAAAAGTAGGACTGGAGCTCAATTTCCAATTTTCATTAAACTAGGAAAACTTCGAACCCCTCTTCCTCAGCAGGATTAATTTAATTAAATGAACTGCTTTTAGTTTCTTACAGCACGAAATAAAAAAGTCCCAACACTTAGTACGTGTATCTCAAATTGCTGTCGAAATAGCCAAGTTAAGGAACAGCTGAGGGGACGATTCTGACGAGCACGATTGGTTTCGGCAGGTCGCATCTTATATCTTTAAATATAATGAAAAAACTAAAAAGGAAATGTTTAATGTTAGTTCACAAATATGCGGGAGTCTGGTGCTTTGTAAGTAGTGCAAATATCTGATAGCTGTTATAGGCTGCACTTTTATTAAGAATGCTAACAAGAAGGGGTGTACAACTTTGCTGGTAAGTTTGATAGGTTTATTAATGAATAGAATAAACACCAAGAGAAGGAGCAGAATGTTGGTATCGAATGAGATAAAATGTAAAACAGCTTAATTTCTATTGTGTTTATTCTATTCTAATGAATAGAATAAACACCAAGAGAAGGAGCAGAATGTTGGTATCAAATGAGATAAAATGTAAAACAGCTTAATTTCTATTGTGAGGCTCCGAACAAGACACCGGTGACAGAATCTTTCGATATAAAAACAGAGTTAAAGATAAATTTATTTTAAAAACTATAAGTAAGAAAGGGCTTTCAATTCACTAAAAATGGCACGAAACTTCATAATTGTTTAAAAATAAAGTTATTTACTAATATGAGAGGAAGCAATTGTAAAGCACTGTAATAACAACGTTATTAGAATGCTTTACAAGTGCTTCCTCTCATATCTGCTATAGTGGAGGTATTAGCATGACAATCGACCCAGAGTTTACCAAGGAAGAGCTGCATGGAATGTAGAGTACATTTTTAGGCTACAGAGAATGATGACTAAAGATTTATTGTATGAAAAGTGTGAGTACCCATGTAACTTGGGATAAGCATTGTATTTTTAAGAGTCAAATAGGCACAAATCACAATGCTGACCGGCTATTAACTGGCTAAAAGCAGGCTTTTACGGTAACAGTCCTCTAATAGCCTTATAAGGCTAATAGCCATAACAAGACACTGCTCAAAAAGTTAAACAATAATATCAATAGAGAGTAGAGACCAATAAATCAACAGTCCAACCACACACCCCACATACTCTATGAGGTCTACCGTCTATCTTTCAGTTAACACATTTCTCTGTGGAACTTTAAGAAAGTTCCACAAAAGAAATGTGTTAGCAACATTAATAACTTAGCAACTAGCATTGAACAAATGTGATGTGGAGCGCTGTGGAATGCTAAAAAGTCGTTACTGGTGAGTTCTGGCCAAACTCAAGCAAACCTGAGACTAACCACAAATCCTGCATAACATCTTCTTAACCCCAGATCAGAAAAGCCGATTTAACCTGCATGGGGCCGAATAACCGCAAATTAGTTTAGATCCTGGAGGAACTCTACCAGGGTTCATCTTAAGGAACTTTGGTGACGCAAGTTTTGCACGCGACAGTGATCTGTACATCTGCTGCAAGCAGATTGGGTAATCAGTGGCACGTGTTAACCGAGGGGAGGTAAAGTTAGGCCATTGTGAGTCACCTCTCAGTTATGCAGAACAGCTGTAACATTGTGAGTCACCGCTCAGTTATGCAGAACAGCTGTAACATTGTGAGTCACCTCTCAGTTATGCAGAACAGCTGTAACATTGTGAGTCACCTCTCAGTTATGCTGAACAGCTGTAACATTGTGAGTCACCGCTCAGTTATGCAGAACAGCTGTAACATTGTGAGTCACCTCTCAGTTATGCAGAACAGCTGTAACATTGTGAGTCACCTCTCAGTTATGCTGAACAGCTGTAACATTGTGAGTCACCGCTCAGTTATGCAGAACAGCTGTAACATTGTGAGTCACCGCTCAGTTATGCAGAACAGCTGTAACATTGTGAGTCACCTCTCAGTTATGCTGAACAGCTGTAACATTGTGAGTCACCGCTCAGTTATGCAGAACAGCTGTAACATTGTGAGTCACCGCTCAGTTATGCAGAACAGCTGTAACATTGTGAGTCACCGCTCAGTTATGCAGAACAGCTGTAACATTGTGAGTCACCGCTCAGTTATGCAGAACAGCTGTAAGCCAACAGAGGAGCAAAGTCAGTTTTTACTTTGATTAATGTACAAAGCAATGTTGTTGTAATTTGTATATAATACAACTAGTCCTACTAATAACTACTGATATCCAGATACTAAAACTGACAGCTCAATCAAACAAACAATGTACTAAATAACGAACAGGCGGGTTTTATAAATAACGAACATAGACGTCCATAATATTTCTTGACATAACCTTTAAAAACTCTTGATTTTTCCACCTACCTTGATCTCTTAGACATAAGGAACATGCGTTGTTCTTCTATCGACATCCATAATTTCTGGTTAGTTCTACAATAAACCAACAAGCCTTTATCCATGAAACAAGTTTACAGTAAAGCTACTAAAGCAATACTTGCGATGTTTATACCTGTAAAACCACTAATGGATGCCACAAATAAAACGCTATTTCTAGTTCCCATCTAATGCAGTATATACTTAGCCATTGAAAGTCACTAAAACCACAAGCAACGTTACAATGAAGGATCGTACATTGTAGCTAAAAACTGTTTCCCAACTTTGGTATAATTGAATAGGAAATGTATTTGTATTCTTTAGGTCATCTTAAAAGCTTTTTCTTTTAAAAGCATAAAGAATAACGAGCAACTTTGGATTGACATTTCACTTTGTTTTGGAGAATTAAATGATCATAAACTCGACGTAAAATCTATACCGATTAGTTAAAACGTAATACACATTTATTTTACAACTTTAGAAGTCTAACACCGTAAATGGTAAAAGGAATAAGATGGTACGCGATGAAATTAATTAATCGATTAATTAATAAAGACTTATGCAACATCAAATTCCAGCATAAGTGTATACTGTATGGTGAACATACGTGTATTCAATGGTAAATATTGAAATCAAAGAGCAAGTTACACTCAAACTTGCCGCTCAGGAATTCCACAGTGAAACTTCGTGACCCAAAATTTAACCAAGAAATGAGTCACAAGATACAAAGTGTATCATTATCAACGAGTATACCTGTCAAATTTTAAGATATTCCAGATTCCTGGTTTAAAACCTCTGCTGAGCTCATGACATCGTGACATGTGTTAAATGCAGGAGAGAAGTGATAATTGTGTTTTTAATAATATAAAAGTCTATAAATAACATACCGAAATGTGCTAAATCACAAATGTTTCTAAAAGGCCTCAAGGCAGTTAGAACCAACTCCAGAGGCAATATATTTGTGCGCACTATTGACATAACACTGTACTTTTATTGCACCATCGGCCGTTATTCGTTTTATCAGATTTGTGTACTTCAACTTGGTATCGCTGTGCAATGAGATATGATCGTCTTATACATACGTCTTAACATAAACATAACACATCACTATGGTTAGGGTCAAACGTTTTTCATGGCGCAATATTAAAAAATTCGAAAAGCAGGATTACTTTTAAAAGTCAAGAAAAACATAAAAAGAACACTTTTTCTCAATAAAAATATTCCCAGTATGTTTAATATTATTATCAGATGGCAAGTTGATAATGCAGTGACTTTCAATATTATCGATATTTAATTAACAAATAAATGAGGGTGAATCTTGGCAAATGAATAACTTGTCAAGCTGGATCGCAATTTCTCAACAGATTAAAATTGAGTCACTTTTAGGCATGTTAGACTCGCTTATATAGTACACAATGTATTGGAATCTACTTCAACTATGCTCACCACCAGCTCCACTAGCCCTAGCCTTGCAGTTGCTGACTATCTTATCGTGAAATCTTCTATTAGGACAATTCTAGCGTTATACATCTTGAATTGCCGCGGCGTAAGACATTACGTAAGAAAGTTAATTTTCGTGTTAAACATAACAATTGTGTGAGGCAAAGGAATTAACCTAAAAGTAAACGTTGAGAATAGTTCAGCTTAATTGCGGTGTTCTTTATTTCTTGTTAGGGTTAGGATTCTAGCATATGATTAACAGTTAGGGGTTTCATTTCGTTGCGTACAAACTTTTCTCAATCAACAAATTGTCACGTTTGAATAAAATACAAGAAAAAATAAGAGCCACGTCTAAAAACTTGTTATGACCAAATAAAATCAACTTTGACACGAAGTATTTATATCAACAGACAGTCGCCCCCATAATATGTCATATTTCAATCAACTTATAAGATACCATGTAGAACTAGGAAATTTCTCATTAACCTAATAGCTGCTAAGTTGTAAGATATGCGAGAAATGTTTATACAACTGCAGAAAATACCGAAAAAGACACTCGTGATGACAATTACTCAGGTGAGCTGATGAAAACTTACTGAGAATCAAGAGATGATAAATTTGTATTTAACTTTAGAAAATTTATGGTATACTCATGGATGAGAAGCCTTTTTTCATGAGATTTTAAAAGCTATCAATCCTTATAAAAATTGTCATGAAAAATTAAACAAGTTTGCATTTTCATTGCCTCTAATATTTAACATAATCTGTTAAATAGCGTATAACTGACTCAGTCTACAGGGTGTTTCAAGACTCGTGTCCAAATTTGAAATTATAATTTTTCTATTTTATGAAGGAAAAAAAAAAAAATTTTATGAAGGAGCAAATTAAATGAAATCGGTTTGGGAATGCTTGTTGCAATGATGATGTTCATAATATATAACCTGTAATACTATTCTGTATATGTCTAATTTCGTTTGGGAATGCTTGTTAGGTCTTACATTTTAGTTATTTCTTGCAAAGTTGCAAAGTTGTGTCAAAACCCATTTTTTCATAATTTTGCAATCTTTTGAAATTTTTCAAAGAAAATTTCAAAATTTGCCCTACCAAACGTGAAGAGAGTAGACATCGTCAAGCTTCTCTGTGTCAACGGAAGCAGTTGGACGGCTGTTAGGAGTGCACTTTCGAAGAAATACGGAAAATCAGGCAGGAAAATTCATCCCAAGACTATTCAACGACAGGTGACGAAATTTGAGACTGTGGAAGGTCCAAAGACCAGGGAAAAGGTGGAACCATGGTGTCTTCGGATCCCGCTTTTTCAAGAATGAAGAATATGAGGAGGCAGGCACGAAAAGGACGTCAAATGATATCGCTATGTTGTGTGGGAAAGTTATCCGAGTCCTCAAAAGAAAAAAACCATAATTCCTGTATTTTCCAAATAAGACAGACCCCTCCTCACTACTCTCAAAAAAGTGTGGGTTGGCTGAGGGAGCATTTTGGAAAAATACTGATGTCAGGGAAAGCAGACCTCAGCTGGCCTCCTTACAGCCCTGACCTGAATCCTGCTAATTTCTTTTTAGGGGTTATCTTATAGGATTGGGCCTAAGATGAGAAGTATGTATCATACGTACTTTTCAAAGTATCGTACAAGTACGTACTTTTAAAATACTGCGGAAAAGTACGCAGATACAATAATGTAGTGCACGTGTTCATTGTTTTTTGTTTTGATGAAATGATGAAGCTTATTAAACTTTCTTTGTTATCTGCGATTGAGTGTTTCTATTATCTCCATGAATATGGCTTTCAAAACCATCATGACAATGAAATTTCAATCGTGGAAGTCGGGAGTTTCCAATAAATAAAACGTCGGATCTAAAAAACGTTACATCGCGCCTGTGAAAATAAGTTTGAACATTTTTTGAATCGTACACTGAGGTATCATACGTACTTTTCAAAATAAAGTACAAGTACGTACTTTTCGCCCGGTATCATACATACTTCTCATCTTAGGATTGGGCGACGTATACAAATTAGCAAGTAACAGTTCGGATCATGTCTCTAATTGGAAATGTTACGTATTGAAATCAGATCACAATTTCGGACAGATGTCGTTTTTTTCTGGTACCCTGAGTCGGACAGATGTCGCTGTCGGACAAATGTCGCTGTCGGACAGGAGTCGTGTTACCATCTTATAGATCGAGTTTATTCAGTTCAAGTCCCAAAAAAGTAGAACAGCCGAAAAACAGCATCAGAAGGAAGGCTAAAAAGTTAAAAGTATGATTAAAACGAATCTCGTTTGTTAAACCAATAAGTCTCCCGAGCAGTGCACTTGTTCCTTTTCTTCAAAAAAGAGCTGTTTTTCATGTAATGTAAGCTCCTTTTGTTGATTTTTGTAAGGCTGATTTCAGAGACGAAAATGCAGGGGTACATTTATTCATTAATTCAACGGATCGTAGCACATGACCAAAGATATGTTAAATAGTTGAACTTATAGAAAGTTTTGGCGATACAAATTACAAAATACGTTCATTCCCAATTGACGGGGAATGAAAATAAAACAGACAACGTCAGTGATCCTATTAAAATCATCATCAGTAAATAACAGTAACACGCGCATTAATTAACTTTAAGTAACTGATTGATATAATAACATTGTTATATCGACAGGAAGCGATGTAACAGAGTCGATGGGGCGGCGGCAAGTCCCTCACGCATTCATCAGTCTGACAGTTTTACTGCCTCTCAATATGTAACTAATACAATTTTACATATATATAACTATAACAGCTATCATCAGCTTAAAGCTAGGGAAATCATGCTACACTGCAGGGTCAGTTAAAGTTTATAAGTTTGTTTACACAGCCCAACAAGACTAACAGCTGTTTATTTATAAAGGAGTAAAGGGGTTCATGCAGACTTCCAACTTACGTGTTATTACCCTTCGAATATACATAATTGTCACTATTGAGCGGCAACCATTCTGATTCAGCCTCAGGTGCAAAACAAGGCATCAAAATCACACTTATGAATGAGGATTGAGGAGGCTTCTCTCAAAATAGCACTTCTTCTACTAATGTACAAGGGTCCAAAATGTTTGTAGATCACGTAGAACAAAGTACTTGATCAACAAAGTATGATCAACTTGAACTTTATAAAAGCAAACAAAACACATGGATATGTGGTCCAAGCGTGTTATAAGCCTCATCGAATTCTTAGAATGTACTGAGTGTTGCTTTTTCGACTGTTACTTATATTAACTCAATAGTCAATAAATGCACGTGCCAGGTGCGGTAATATTTTGCAAATAGTGCGATTCCGCACCTGCCTAAAATTATGTGCGACAAATGTGAAGAGACAAAACATAGCAATTAAGCTGAATAATTCGCCAAAAACAGCAAACAATTCTTATCTCTGATTTAAAAAATTGAAAACTTTGTGGTACGTTCTCGGTTCTTCTCATTATTTAAGAAAATAACGAAAAATAACAGAAAATAATGAAAATAACGAAAATAACGAAAATGGTAATACTAATAGTATTACAATATAGTTGACGGCTGTTTGTACAATAAACAAGAAATCTGAGATGATTACACGTTGAGATATTCACCAACAAACAATAGATACTGAGGTAGTTCGTTTTCTCAAACAACTTTGTAGTATATATAGGGTTTAGGTTTCAAAATTCAGGGTTAAGTTCTTAACGATTGATACATTATACAAAATACTAAAAATATTTTGGGCACCACACAGCTTCAGTGTAGCGACTACATTGTGTCCCTCTTCAGGAAGTAAACGACAAATTCTTCTGTCATATTTATTTTATTTCTTATTGTTATAAGAAGCACATATTATGCTAACAACATGATCAACGGATGGTTAACTTGTCGATATTAATCACCTATAAAGGTCCTCGTTATCAAAACCTGAAGACCTTTACATACCCGGATATACTTCCATAACTTGATATTAATCAAATTAAAATACTTACAATGTGCGGTTTAAATAATATAAGGGCTCTGGTGGATGTAAGATATTAAATTTACCACACAGTTACTCTATTGTTTAGTGTAATATGGTAGCTGGTTGCAGCAGGGTGTAGGCTTTTTAGATCTTTTAGAATATTCTAGTATTAGTGTTAAATAACCGTTAGGATTAGTATAAGATTAGATTAGATTAGTGGAATAGATTATGGATGGTTTTGCGGAGGAAGGCACGTGTTAGTCAGGTTAGCTAGTTAAGTCAGGTTATTGGACAGACTGGGCCGCGCGGTGTCACGTGGTTCGCCATGTGATGTCACGTGACCCAGTGCTGGTAGGTTTTGCTTGCCCCGTTAGCGGCAGTTCTGGGAGGATTGTTTAACGGTAAGGTTGTAAAAGTTACCGCTTCCGAGAACAGTGTAACGTGGCCGACGAGTCGCTAGTCTTGGTTTATTGATAATATAGTAATTCATTACCTTTCGAGACTTATTATTCGAATACCCTGTTTCCTTTGTTCTCACCTAACTTAGGATCAAGTCATTCGATCTTTTAAAGTTATACGGCACTCAGTAGCCTGTAAGAGTTAAAGTGAAATTGCAGAGCTTGAGAGCTAGAGATTTGCAGGTATTCGTGTACGAGACTTCGATATCATACCCGTATATTTCTTTAAGTACCGCGTACGATACTTCAAGATCGTGCCCGTGTATTTCTTAAGTACCGTGTACGACACTTCTCTATCGTACCCTTGTACAGTTTAATTACCCGTGTACGCCACTTCGTTACCGTACCTTTGTGAGCAGGCAGAGTTTACCATCGGTACGCCCCGGGAGGACTGTTCTGGTGCCCAACCTATTTTACACTATGTTATTAATTATGTGCTGTATCAAAGAGTATAAGAGCTATACAAAGGGTCATTCAAACAGTATATATTATATATATGTTTGATGATATTTACTGACAATTTCAGCCATGGTCAATATCCAACTACATGTAAGGTTAGATATATATATATATATATTATATATTAGGTTTTGATTAAACCTTTAAGCTTGTGTGTTGATAACAGTTGCTCTCTCATCAGTAAAATCGTTTAATTACACTGCGACCACCGTGTAGCCTTGTAATACAAGTTAAGTACATGATGGAGGACACAGATTTACTGCAGCGTTTATCAGGACACTCTACATTTTTCAACGAAGCGAATGAGGATTTCGACGCTTTAATTTCGAATGTTGCAGAAGCCACGAACTGTGAAAATAAAATAAGGTTTTCAGTTGAAAAGTTTGAAAAGCCAGTCAAGAAGGTTTTATCAAATTTGATGTATAATATGTACAAGCAGTTGAATTCTGTCGTCGGAGAAACTCTGACTGCAATGAAAGATGTTGAGGAATTGAAGAGTTGTCTCATCCGATCACAAGAGTCGGTTATCAAACTGCAGAGGGAACTTCTTGAAGCCAAAGCCAATCAGTTGGAATCTGTTCAGACCACCGTAAAATCTGCTGTTCAGGACATTGTTCAAGCTGAGATCAAGTTATACAGTCAAGCTGTGTTAAAAGCCTCGCCGAACACTACAATAACGGAGGAGAGCCTGAAAAAAGTTGTGCAGAAGGCTGTGTCAGAAGAGGATCGCAGCAGGAATGTTCTCATTTTTGGTTTAAAGGAGACAGTAAAGAAAAACTATCAGACAAAGTAGACGAACTGTTTGAACAGATTGAAGTGAAACCACACTTCGAAGCTGTAAGGATTGGAAGGAAATCAGCTGACAAGACCAGACCTGTCAAAATTTTGTTATCAAATTCGAATACTGTACATCAGATTTTATCAAAATCGAAAAACCTGAAACTGAGTGAGCACCACAAAACTGTGTTCATTTCACCAGATCGGTCACCTGAGGAGCAAGCCAGACATCATCTGCTCGTTTTGGAGATGAAAGAAAAGGCAAAGAAGGATTTGAAGAGACGATATTATATCAGAAGTGGTATTATTTGTTGCGAGGACATGATATCATAGTGAACGATGCATAATCATGAAGTTTTTTCTTGTGTGTGACTTAACGGGTGATACTCGTAAATTTTTTGTTCTAATTATATAAGACCGTCGACGAGTCTAACTCGGCGCACGTCTTGGTAGTTTATAAACCTTAGGTGTGACACAATTGTTTATCTTTTATTGTCATATAAAGTACATTGGTTCTTAAATTTTTATGAGATCCCACTTTATAAATTTTTTAAAAACTTTCTGCTCTGAGGAGGAGAGAAAGTTTTTGTGGAGAGCCGCTCAGACATGGGCACCGTATTGTGTAAATTATTTAGGTATATTTTATGCAATATCTTTGTTACATACGAGCGGGGTAGTAAATATTGTGTTTCGTTTCGTTTCGTTTCGTACATAAATCAATTGATAAATTTAGTAAAACGGTAACAATTTTTAAAATCTGGATAGATTTTATAAATTCTATTTATAAATTCTATTGTATAAAAGCACAAACGGTGCGATCGGTTGGTTATGGGGCATGGGCTAAACTATGTGTAGCAACTGCTCAACTACTCAACTACTCATACGTCCAGTTTAAAGCTTGTAATGTATAAATGTATTTGACCAAAACCCATAATCATGGGTAGAGTGGACCGCTGCCAGTGTATCTCTTTCCCAAACAAAAGGAAATGATATTAATTTGATTGACCGTTCTCAAATGCAAAATGATACCGAGAATGAAATCGGTCGCTCGCTTTTCCCATTAATTTACAATTGTAATAGATTAAGAAGAACTACCCGAAGGCAGCTGTACTCAGCAATAAAGATGCCATTAAATTCATATATATTGACATTGAACTGTCGTGGTAAAGCAGAATTTGTTCGAAATCAGGAATGAGCAAAATTCTCACCGTTCGGACGTGCAAACTTTGAGCGGACGTTGCGTGCTTATCCAATATTGAATCGCCGTAAATTTTTGCATAGCGGTATTATATATATAGTTTGATAAGCGTGCAAAGTTTCAAAAGATTTCAAATAGAACTTGGATCACAACGGGACTCCAAAGTTGATAAAAATCGCGAAAACACCAATTTTAAGTGATTTTAGCAATTTTTAATCAATTTGGGCGTGTCCCCACGTGTGCAACTTTTTGATTTTCAACTTTAAAACTAGCCTAATGCACAATTTATACCTATAGGAAGCAGAACTGAGCTCCACAACCCAAGAGATAGCCCAACACCAGAGAATACTAAATCGCAAAATTTACGTTTTTATAAAATAATTTTTCAAACAACTTCAAAGGCAAATATCTTTATGAAGGAGTAAGATAAGAAAACTTTCCGGTAGATTTTCAGAATGCAAAGATAAAAATTTCCTCAGATGTTGAAAAAAAAATACTTTTAAATGGTGTTAAATCAATTTTAAAAGTTATTACTTTGTCGAAAATCAAGTTTTAAAAACTGTTAACTTGATGACGTTATCAAGGGGTGTTCATGACGTCAAATAATTTTTTTATACAATGTAAACTAAAGTGTAAACAATTATTTTCAAGACCTGTGGTCGGAAATGGCTGTATCTTTTATACTTTTGAATCTATGGACACTTAAATTTAGGATACAATTGACTACATTTGACTGTCAAAGCGTCTATCCCTGAATATATGTATATATCACAACAATCTGTCGTAAAACAGGGGTTCTAGAAAACCCACTTCCCAATGCTCCTGAAACTTGAAACTTTTTTTGTAGTCGATTTGATCAACGTCGAGACGCCCTGCAAAGTTTCACATCTCTAACTCAATTTTAACATGGTTTTTAAGGCACCTGAATATGGCAATTTTCGGTTTTTTACCGAATTTCGTATAACATGCTGGCGCGAATTTTGCGCAAATTTCTTAAAAACCTCCACATAACTATTTCTTATTCCTGTCATCTTTGACATTGAATTAGAATGTTTTGAACTTAAATATACCTGCTGAACTACTTTCGATAAGTCTTAATGCCTGAAAAACAATAAAGGGGTATAATAGTAAAGGGGGTATAATAGTAAAGGGGGTAAATAGTAAAGGGGGTGAGAAAATACTACAATATAATCAAGGTACGATGTTGGATACCTGAGTTCTATATCTTTCGATAGCAACTCCATCTATGTATCTGCTTAGCTTCCATCACTGATCCTGGTACTTGAGATTCCAGGTGTGGCTTTAAACAATGTTTTAAGGGCCCAACACTCAGCTCACTCAGTTGATGGTAGAACAGTGGGTCTTTGTGCGATGTTATAGCAGGGACTCCACTTCTTGT